CCTGCTGATAGGGAGGGCATCTCTCACACAAGAGTTTTATTTCCTGCTTTCAGGAGTCTGACAATTTTTGTGTAAGAGTTGGTATGTATTGAGTTCTGGAAATATGCCTTGGCCCCTAGTATGCATACCTGGAGTGGTCGTCTTTGGAAATGTTATAACATAACCTGGGAATGTAAATTATTTAACTATTAATTATATAATTATGATATAACACAGAGTATAGATCCATAAGATATAGTTAGAGAATAAAGCACAAGCTGGAATGGTACTTTTAACAAACTTTAAACAACAATACAGGATCATCCAGAGCATGGAGCAGGTTCCAGGTCCACAATCTAGCCTTAACACCCATTCCTGGACACAAGTGGGAGTCTAAAGAGAGAGAGCATGGGACTTTTGTCTTTCATCCTGAGATGCTATCAAGCTGAAAGCCCACTAACAATAAATTGCCAATGAGGTAGAATATTATAAAGCAAATTAGGGATTTTATACATGTGTACCTATACATAGCTTATACCCAAATGCAGAAGAAAGGAGATCTAATAGACAGTTATATCTAAGCTACATATTGTAGAAAGTCCTCTTGAATTTGACTTTGACTTAGGATCATCTGTAGGCTTTGGGCCAAGAGATACCAAGACTATTCTGTTTGCTAGTCAGCAATTCCTCATGTAAGGAGACCAACAGACTCTTTTGTGAAAGAACACAGCCTAACATGGAATAAATATTCTATAAATGTTTATTAATCCAATTTCATTCTTTTCCATATAATAGTATAAGTCCAGTGAATAAGTGACTCCTTATCAATAACACTCATTTTTAAAGCTTTATGAATCTGTATGGTGTCTTCCCACCTAGATTTGTAATTCTTTGAAAAGGTATAAATAGCAGAAAGAGCATATGCTTTGGTGTTTCATAATAAAACCTTGGTTAAAATTTTGTTTCTACCACTTACTGGCTGTGTGACGTTTAATTTATTCTCCCAGAGCCTAGCTTCTCATTTGTAAAACAGGGTGATGTTTAAGTGAGATGTTGTTTCTTATGGGCTGAATTGTGTTCCTCCAGAATTCTTAGGTTGAAGCTCTAATCCCCAGTACCTCAGAATGTAACTGTACTTGGTGATAGGGCCTTTAAAGAGGTGGTTAAGTTAAAATGAGGCCTTTAGGGTGGGTGCTAATCCAGTCTTACTGCTATCCTTATAAGAAGGAGAGATTTGGACCCAGAAAAAGACACCAGGAGTACACATGCACTGAGGGGCAACCATATGAGCAGACAGCAAGAGGGCAGCCAACTGCAAGTCAAGGATACATGCCTCGAAGGAAACCAATTCTACCTATACCTTGATCTTGGACTCCCAGTCTCCAGAACTGTGAAAAAATTAATTTCTGTTGTTTAAGTTACTCATTTGGTGGTATTTTGTTATAGCAGCCCTAGCACACTAATACAGTGGTATATGCTTAACACAACCTGGCATGTACTGTGCCTTTAATAAGTATTCTTTTACATACTCTTGTATACCTTCTACCACTTGGTAGGGCAGTTGGCATATAGTAGGCAGTTGAATGACTGAGAGACCTTCCATTTTGAAATCATTTTTTAATAAAACATCTGGAAAATGGAGCAATTTTTGTTTTTACGAAACACTTTTAATTTTACTTTTCAAAGTTTGAGTAATATCTCCCCTTGTTAAGTATGAAAAACAATGTCATCATCATAGCCAAGAGGAAAATGGAAATGTTTTATAGTAACTTTCATATGGTTCTTGTAATTCCATTATTCTATCTCTTACTAGTTTTATTTCTTATTTACCTTAAAATTTCCGATCAAAGAGATTTATTGTTCCATTTAGTTTTCTGTCTTTTTCTCACCATGGCTTTGAGAGTGAAGAAAACACTATTTATCTGTCAAATTTAATTTTCAGAGGGATCAGGAAAGAGGGAAAAATCCATGAACATTAATCTAGTGCCTGCTATGAGCCAGGCAATTTATGTGTATTACATGCTTTTTTTGTTTGTTTTAATTCTTACTAACCTTATTGGTTTTAGTGATATTATACCTGTGTCACAGCTGTAGAAACTGAAAGATAAAAGTCACAGAGCTTTTAAATGCTAGAGCCAGAATTCCAACTCAGTATTTCAGAATGTATTATTTTCTATTCTTTATCTGATTGTTATTACTTTTAGTCTGAGATGAGGTTTCTATGTATGACTTATTTGGAGCTCTAAAGAAAAACAAAATGTTCTGAATTTTAGGAACAGAAAAAGACCAAACTTCTTGAAAATCTGTAGTCTACCTTTTTCAGCACCAACTTTTTCTCATTTCTTTGCCCCTCAAGTTGAATGTTATGATTAAGAAGAAATATACTGTTTTTTAGGTGCTACCTAAATTAGTCATTTCTTTTCATAAGAATCATTAGCTTGTTATATGTTTTTTAAATGTTTTAGTGCTCTTAATTCTGGTCAGGTTTGTTTTATTCTACCCTTATTTCTCTATTTGGGAGCTCAAGAAATGTAGGTTTGAAGGAATGACTTAAGAATACACAATCGGTTTTTAAAACTACCTTTTGAAGTTATTAAAAATTGAGGCTACCAAGAACTATTGAGTCGAGTTCCTTGGAGACAGGTGCCAAGTCTAATTCCAATTAACATATTCATTGATTTCTTGAGGACTACCACAAGTAAGATGTCAGTCAAAAATGAAAGGTAATAGAAAATTCTTTGAAAGATTATGATTAATTTTAATTTGGGGAGAGAGGAGGGAAATGACATAAAAATGTCATGTCAAAGAAAAGCGAAAACTAATTTATACAAGAAAGAAGACGTCAACTCTAGAATATACAACAAGGAAACTGAAATAGTATCATCTAACAGAATTCCAGTCTATAGTATTGTCTTTTAGTAAGTTTTGGGGTTCATATATTTATTACATAAGTAATCAGATTATCATGCTTTAAAAAGGCATGACTATCAATTAGGCGAATTAGGCATAGTTCGAAAGATAACAATGACTCTTTTATTTTCAGTCTTTAAGAAAAAATATTAAAATTAACGAGATTCGTTCAGTCAGGAAGAAAGGTAAAAGGGAGACATAAAAAACTATACTAATTATTCTCTTCTGTCAATAAGAGCAGAGCAAAAAATAAGAGGGTTAATTTGAGTTTAATATTAAGGAACTTAAAAAATTATAACCATAACCACATAATTAGAAGTACCTATGGAAATTCTAGAATCACCTTTCCTTTTACATCATTAAGCTGACATCTTTGTACTCATCTCTTTAAAAGTGCTAAAGTAGAATTAAATCTTGTCCTCATGCAGAGGACCATATTAAGAAACGACCTCAGCTCTTTTCCTGGCCAAAAAATCATGGGAAAGGAGACCAAAAGACAAAAACTTTCAATCAAACACTTTCTGGAACTAGAACAGTCTTGACAACATGGATTTATTTTTATTTTAATAGCCAGTTTTGGTTTTTTGGTTTTTTTTCTGGGAAACTAACTCTCATTACTTAAACTCGAAGGTGAGATTTGACTGACATTTGATTTAATTAAAGTTAAAAGTGAAATTTAAATATGTTCAATAGGATTTCCTTTTGTTTTATTCTCCCACCTTTGCCTCTACAAAGCAGAATGTGGACAGTGATAAATCTATAGTTTTTTATTCCATCCTTAGGTGTTTTCAGCTTGAATTTTCCAAAAATTATTAAAAAGTTTATTAAAGAATACTTATCTCTGTCACGTATTTATAACTTTAAAGATCCATGTATATATTTAAGGGTTTTTTTAAAAAAAAATCTTTTAAAATAACAATCCTCACTATAGAAAAATTATAACTTTAATATATGGTTACAATAATAAAATTCTTTTATGAGTTCATTTTTTTTCCATAAAACTTAAAGTATTTAGTCAACATAAACTGTTTTATCCTTGTAAAACTTTGACAAGGAAAGGCCATAGCAAGCATTATTTTCCCAAATGTAAAAAAAAGGAAAAAAAAGGAATCTGTTACTTTCACCATATAAAATATTTTTATTTC